TTGTACAATTAACCACTACATACCTAACTCATCATTACTGGGAAAAAAAGAAGCAGCTTTTAGTTGTGGAAAGTTTTCTCAACGTTTCTAGTTATATTGACGACATATGCAAAATGGAACAACCCTCATCTCGAAAATTAAACTATGAAGATTATTTATCTCCATTTAACTGCCATTTAAGTAATATTCTTGCCACAGATTTTCTTACAAAAATAGATCACCTTCAGTATATACAAAGTCATTGGGGAAGTTATCAAAAATTATATACAGATGGTTCAAAAATGGACGGCAAAGTTGGATATGCTATATTCTACCCCCAAAAAAGTATAAAGATAAACAACAGATTACCCGACAAAATGACAACTTTCACAGCTGAACTCATAGCAGTCAAAGAAGAATACAAAATATGTATGAATCAAAAAGAACTAAACTATGTTATATTTACAGACTGCCAAAGCATTGTACATAAACTGAAATATGATTTACATACTTTTGTAGAAAATTATATCATCAGTGACATTATAGCACTGAACAGTGAAGCTTTGAAATCGGGCAAAAATATCATATTGTGCTGGATAAAAGCACATATTGGTATAAAAAACAACGAAATAGTAGATGATTTGGCAAAAAAAGCAACAATGAAAGAATCCACTCTTCAAACCTATCAACTTCCTATGGGAGATTTAATATCTGTAATCAGGTCTCTCAAACAGACCAAATGGCAGGGACACTACAACAATTCGGACAAAGGCAAATTTTATAAAATAATCCAACCCAAAATTTCCGTCAAGACATGGTTTAAACAAGTTTCCAACAGAGGCTTCATCAAAGCTATTTGTAGAATAAGAAGCAATCATTGTATGACTCCAGTCTACAAAAGAAAAATGGGACTGGCAAATAATAATGAATGTATATGTGGAGAGCTAGCTGATCTACAACATATGCTGTTAGAATGTCCTTTACATTTTATTGAAATATCAAATTTTTTTACCAAGCTAGTTCAAGTTAATGTTCAATTACCTTGTAATCTAACACATCTTTTAGAGTCAAAGAATCTAGATGTATATAAAATTTTATATAGTCATATTAATTTTTTAAAATTAAAGCTCTGATAAAAAAAATAATAAAGAATAAAAAAAAAATGAAGAACAAAATAAAAAAAATACTAAGAAGATCTAAACCTCCGAGGTGTCGAATCGGGTTTATGTCTTAGCGTAGTAATAAAAAAAAATAAATAAAAAAAATAAAAAAAAATAAAAAAAAATAAAAAAAAAATAAAAAAAAAATAAAAAAAAATAAAAAAAAATAAATAAAAAAAAAATAAAAAATAAAAAAAAAGATACAAAAAACAAAACAGCAAAAACAGAGTAATCTAGTAAATAAGTTTCTAACATTCCATGTCTTAACTGTCAATACAATACAATGTTTTAAATGTAAATACTAACAATATCTTATGTAAAGAGAGAACTTAAAACAAATTGACTGGCCAGTTGGTTGTCAAAAGCAGTGCCAATAAAACACACACACACACACATATTTTTCAGACAATGCAGCGAGTGTTTTAGTTGGCAAAGCTTTGTAGTTTAAATAATAAACTTTGCGGCGCTCAATTTTTCACCTTCGATTTTCAGTTCACGTATACCGTGAAGATTTTTGAACTTTTCCAACCATCCGCTGCTTCCTTTAAATGAAGGATCGCCATTCAATTTCATGTTGAAAAGCAACACTTTTTCGATAACAATTGGTCAAGACCTTCGCTTCTTTTTTGAACGAACCACAAATACAGACTGTCGTGTCGTGCCCTCTCAAGTGATTTATTTGTCTTTTTTTTTTATTGTCTAACTATGTTTTATCCGGCCATCTAACGATTCCATTTGTGAAGCATACTTTTTAATTCCATCAGCATATTTTTAAATCATTGATTGTTGTTCTCGGAACATCATACATTTTGCTCAATGTGACTAAGTGACACAATCAATGTTCGAATTTGAGTAAAACCGTTGTGAAACTGAACTAAGAACAGATACTGACTGTAATAGTTATTATGCTCTGCGTTTTTATTTTCGGCTGGCGATTCTAAAAATGAAACTCTAAAGCAGGGTATCATTATTTATCATTACCTATTTAAATTGAAATTCAATTCAAAGCCCTGAATAAGAACAATAATTATTTAATTGATATGAGGTTGAATGGTCGAATAAATGAACTTTGAAAAATTAAGGCAAATATCGAGCACAAGTTTAATGATCAAATCTTACCCAAGTACTTTCGCTATCTACAGCATCATCAGGGGCATTTCGTCAAATTTGGGCTATCCAGCAAGCGTAGAATGTAATACGCATGGGAGTGGACATAAATTGTACATAACACTACAGTAAAACAAGGACAAGCAGTTTAAAAATATTAAAATTATTCTTACGCTCTACATTCTTGTCGGCAACCGGAGAGAAAATGAATAAGAGATTCTAGCACCCTCTGTCCCTCTACCTCCTTGACTGCTACCATAGCCTAGTTTCAAGGAACTGCCGGAGACTGAGGGCCTTGCATCTTAGGTTCATGGTCGTTTCTATACCACGCTGGCCTGTTAGGGCTTAGAATGGGTTAGTAAATTTTGGGGTCTTTGACAAGAATGATAGGTTGGGACGTGGTACCCTCTCGGTTAAAGTGAGTGAGAGTTAACCAAGGCTTACGTAAGCAGGGCAGAGTCGCGAACCTGTAGTAGACCTAACTTTACCGGGATCGCAAAGTGTATCTACCCGGTACCCTTCATATACATAGACCATCACTACACTTATATAATTATTGATACAGCCAGCTGAATAAAAAACAAATAAATTCTGTATACAGCGAGAAGTACGGTAAGGAGACATTGTGTCTCCAAAGCTATTTACGATGCTTTTGGAACATACTTTCAAGAAGGCACATCAGAACGAGCATAGTATTAACATAAGTAGAGAGAAGCTTAGTCATTCGAGATTTGCAGATAACATCGTCCTTATCTCCGATCGTATGGATGATGCAATAATAACGTTTGAAAAATTATATCACTCTTCGTTGGAGGTCAGACTAAAGAATAATATAAACAAGACACAAATAATTTCTAATCTGGTGCTAAATTGAAATTTTGCTGTTGATGGAAGGGATATTGTATTCTATTAAATAGTTCTATTGCATTTTTTACATGACTGTTTTTTTCTCTGACAGTTGACAGATGTTGACTGCTCGTATATTATTTTTTATTAATCAAAGTTTTTTACTATTTTGATCTAATAAATAGCACTTTTTATCCAAACTTTTAACTTTATCCAAATCGTTATTAAACTATAAGCAATTTGTCATAGAGCCTTGACATGTTAATATTAAAGGAAGCAATGAAAATGCATCAGTTGTTTCAATCTAAACAATTACAGGGATGATTGATTAATGCCCCCGTTATATCGTTCAAAGCCTTTTTGTCAAAGATTTTGTTTGTTTTATAGAAACCAGGTTACTTCTTTAGGTAAACTATATAGCTTTAATGCCGTTTAAAGGTTAAGAAAAAACGTTTATCGTATGGCGTCAATATTACAGGAACACTTAAATAAACTAATAAAATGGTCCCTAATAACCTGTTTTAGTTTCTGTTCTAATAAAACAAAATGCTTGAAATCCTTGAAAACCAGAACCGTTTCTATACAAACGAAATAAACCTTTAAATGGAGAGAGTTCTGCATTCAACAATCCATGTTGAATGGAATTCTCCATTGAACAATACATAGTAGTTTCAACCATGTTCTACCATCCATCAATTAATAGAGTACCGGCATGTAAGTAATGTTTATTTTTATTTATTTGCTCATTTATTAATTTATTATAATCTAATAGACTATTTTATAACAATTTGTGGGCCTAACCTTGTCTGTTTAATCTTTTAAAACTTTTATACCTTTTTATTCAACTTACTCTTTTTGAAATAAAACCACAGACATGTAATATTGGCATAATTATTGTAATTTACAACATCTTCTTTGTTTATCTTTATTAGACAACACCCTAATATGGGTTTTTATCATTTCAGCATTTATTTAACTTTGTATCGAGACCTGAGGACGCTTTGCATATTGTAGAAAGCGAAACCGGTCATCTGATAGTTAAATTAAATTGATTGTGAGTAAGTCTTATTTATTATTTCTTTACCTATTTAATTATTTCTCGCTTAGGACTTCGACAAACTCAGCTTTCTCATAAACATTTGTTTAAAAAAGAAGAACGTCCAATTTGTGACGAGTGTGGTTCACCCCTTGCGATAAAAACTGTGCTAGTGGAAAAGTACGAAAAGTTCATTTGTCGCAGAATTAAATACCATTAAACAAACAATCTAAATGACATTTTAAACTCTAAAAACACTAATAACGTTCCTCTAATAAACTTATTAGGTTGAAGGTTATTCTTCTTATTCTTTTTTTGGGTTTGGGTTGAAGGTTAACAAACCAATACATATTCTTACCCAAAAATAATTGCATATGCAAATAAAAAAAAAACAGAAACAAGATAAAAGAAGATATGGTATGAATATGTATTAAAAGATCTTATAGAAAATGGAATCCAAAATTTAAGATTTATAGATTGGATAACAAATAGATCTAAAATAAAAATTAAAAAAATAAATATGTTGCCTGTGTGAGTCCAAAAAGAAATAAAATAAGACTTACAATCAATTTAATTTAACCATTAAAATGAAACCAAAGCGAAACCTGTCGTTTTGGTGGTAAAATAAATTGATTTTGAGTAAGACTTTTTTCATTTCTTTTTACCTATTTCTAAATAAAAAAAAAAATTGAAAACCACTGACCTGCTTTTTGAATCCCATTGTATATATTAAAAATTTCGTAAGAGTACAAACAAGCCAGCAACAAGGAATATAAGAAATAATTTGTATCACCTCTACAAACATGTTTTCTTGAATTTCGATTTTGCAAAAATATATTTTAATGCTAGTGTTTATTTTTTTCATTTGTTTTAGAATGACTGTCGAATACAACAACGACACCAACGGTGCAGTTCTGAAAATATCTCCTGTAGAAGGTGAAGATGAAGCCACTTACAAATGTGAAATCACCTACATCGTCGTCAGAGAGCACTGTGATGTCATTCAAATACTGAAGCTAAAAACACTGAGTAAGTAATAATTATTACAGCTATCTACTCTATTACTATTTTACGATCCTTTAGCTAGTGAATAGGTCGTGGTAATGATAATCACGTGATTTTTAATAATTTAGAGCGATGTTTTTTCCTGAATTAAGTAGATTATATTCGTTAGAGTTAATAAATATCTTTTTATTTAATATTATGTAAGCATATATAACTTTAATTGAAGACCGTTTATGCAAAAGTTGAGAAGTACAATTTAACCAATTTTGAGAAACTTAATATTTATTTTCGTGAATATGATCGTTAACAACAAATATGTCTTATAGAATTAGAAAAAAAAAACGTAAAACCTAAACTAAAGGTGAAAACCTATATCTTCGTCGAGACATGATCAAGGTTCTTCAAGTTCTCACTTATAATTTTTATGACAGTTTGCATCTTGGGGTCTTCTGGACAAAATTTTGTAACATGCTAAATCAGTATCTGCATCTCAATTTTTGCCATATTCTTCCTTCAATAAGAATAACATTTTCTAAAATTTTTTAGGAGCTAATAGGCGAGCAATTTTTAGGATTTCATATAAATTAGTAAGGTTAAATAGCTTTGTTTTACTCCTGCAAAAATTATTATTCTCCTCTATGTCAAGATCTACTCTATAATTCTGATGTCCTCGTACCAGTATCTTAATGTTAAGGTCATAAGTGCTCTTCTCTATTATTATTTTTTTTCTTGTCACTTATTTCTGTCCATTTGTTTAAAGGATTTTCCTAGACTTTTAATATCCAATCCAAAAGTTTTTAATCTTTCTTCAAAACATAGATTTTTCCACTTTTCTACTTTATAAATTTTATGGTATATTTCTTTTGTCTTGATAAATGGCTCTGTTCTTAATAACTTTTCGACCCTTCAAAATAACCTGTCGGTTGGATCAAAACTATGTCTCTCTTACAGGAGATACTATTTTAACCATAGTTGTGCATGTGGCAGTATTTGCTTCCCAATACATTTGCATATAGGTAACATGTTTGTTTTTATTTTATCTACCACATTCATCACAAAATAAAGTAATAGCATTTATTTTCAGTAAGATTTCCAGAGAGTTTAGAAAACGTAAAAGTGTAGATGCTACTTCTACGCAGTCTCTTTCGGCTTGATTTTCTGTCCATGAAAAAAAGTTTGCGACACCTGGGTGTACTGGTATAATTTCAAGGTTATAATGTCCTAAGTAGAAAGCATTAGAAATAGCTGTTTTAGGGAAGTGTTAGAGTTGTTGTAGATCGAAGCAGTAAGGCAAACTGTTTTCCGGTATTTCCTTCATTAACTTGTAGAACAGTTTATGAATTTTTTTCTCAGTCTACAGAACAATTCTTTTAGCAGGATTTCTTTCTCTTTTAAGAGTATTTTTAAGTCTTTCACATAATTGCATATGGGCCATCAGCCTTGGTTGGGCAGCATTTGGAAAACTGAGAGAAACTTTTAAAAGTGAGCTGCCCACATGCCTAAAGAGAAAGGTATTTGATCAGTGCGTCCTCCCAGTCTTGACGTACGGAGCAGAAACACTTATCTTAACAAAAGCAGCAGCTATCAAACTGAGAGTCACGCAGAGAAGAATGGAGCGGTCCATGTTAGGAATAACTCTCCGAGACATAATAACAAACGAAGACATCAGGCAAAGAACCGGAGTGACTGACATCATCGAGAAGATAGACTAAAATAGATGGGCAGGACACATAGCCAGAATGACAGATGGGCGATGGACAAAGAGGTTATTGGAATGGAGGCTAAGGGAAGACAAGAGAAGCGTCGGTCGATCACCTACAAGATGGACTGACGATTTAAGAAGACTCAATAAAAACTGGATAAGAGCGGCGCAAGATAGACGGGGTTGGAAACATGAGGAAGAGGCCTATGTTCAGCAGTGGACTCTTGAGGCTGAATGATGATGATAATTGCATATCAGCTAACGAAGATTTTAAACCCAAGGTTGAACTCTTTTGCGAAAATTCGTTGAAATGTTGAAAATGAGATAATCTTAATTTTGGCAGCTAAGCGGCATACACAAAACAGTTTTTTTATTGTTAGGTTACAGTTAAGATTAATACGTTTACATTTATTTCGACCATATTGACTTTATTTCTCTTTTTGTCAACCATTTTCCATCCACTCCTGAATGTAGGTCTCTCCCAATTGCTTCCATCTTTCTCTATCTTGCGCCAATCTAATCCACTGTTTGCCTGCCACTGCTCTTATGTCATCTACCCATCTTTTTTAAGTCTTCCCATGCTTCTTGTTGTCGTCCTTGGTCTGCGTTCTAGAATTCTCCGTGTCCACCTGTTGTCATTTTATCGGGCTACGTGACCTGCCCAGCTCCATTACGTTTTTGTAATTTCTTCCACAATATCCCTAATCTTCGTTCTACGTCTTATCTCAATGTTTCTAATCTTGTCTCTTAGTGATATTCCAAGCATGATACGATTCATTGCTCTTTATTAAACAATTTACTTATTGTAATCCTTATTACAGATTGTAAATAAATGGGATGTTTAATAAAAAAATTCTGCTTGGAGCTAACTTATGTGATATTTAATCTTTCCCTCATCTTTTCTTAGGTACATCACCTTGTTTTTAAGATTTTAGAAATTCTGAGAACTCTAACTCTTTTTTTAAGGTATCTAAAAAGAAATCCCCTACTTTTATTTGCTAACTTCCTATGTAACTAATAGAACTTTCTCGAGACTTTCTACACTTTTATTTCTAGACGGTTCTCCTTCAGCTAGAAACCTACAAATTAGTTGATCTTTTTTTTATTTTAGAATTTCCATGATACAATTTTTTCTTCCATTGATATATATCTTCAAGTGTTACCTAATTACACTGATAATTTTTCTTTCTATGGTTGCATATAATTAGGTCATCGAATATTTTTCTGTTTTATATGAACCACAATACTTTGTGCGCCATGATATAGGTTTAGCTACTTGATAACAGGCCAATTGATAACAGGTGCTTAATAAATTGACAATAAAAATACATCACAGTGATTCCCGAAGTGTACTTGGCAACTTGTGAATAAAACCTTAATAGCACCCATGAAATATTAACAGGATGTTAATGTTTAACAGCGCAAAATAGAACCCGATGGCGCGTTTTCACTGAAGCTCTATGCTCCACTTAGGAGTTCAAGAACAATATATATATATATATATATATAATGTTTAACATCCTGTTAATATTATTATAGTTTATTTTTATGAACGAGAGAGTAATTAGCATAATTTTAACTGGTACCTCCGACCACTCCATGGGCGTGCTCAAGATTAATTGAAAAATTACTTTGAATAATTGTAAAAAATAAATGAATTATTTCAGTGTTATAAAGTGTTATGTGTATATAAACAAAAGTGACCTCTTTTATCACACACTATATTAGAACTGACTGGCCTACATTAAAAAGGGTTTTAAAAAATTCACATTTTTTTTAATTTTTAAAAATTACAAAAGAGAAAAAAAAAATTTAAAACCGTCTAAGGTATGTTAAATAGATGAATAAAAATATTAATATAAAACTTACAGCTACTTGTTACAAATCCAATTCAGATTCAGAAGATGAACTTTTAGAACCAAGATTTATAATAACTGGCTCGATCATTTTATCAGTAATATTGTCCAGCTTTCACATTTTTTCCTCTTCTTTAATAGTGTGATTTATTGCCTTTTCCCAGTTTTCAGGTTTTACATTATTTACGGCCTCCAAAAACAACTGTTTAACATAATGAATTTTAAAAGTGGTATTTTTTCTTGAAACTTCACTCTTTATCTGTGCCCATACCAGTTCAATCGGGTTTAATTCACAATGATATGGTGGGGATCTAAGTACTGTCATTCCACGATTTTTGGCAATTTCATCAATTTCGTATTTTTTAAATTTTTTTTTTATGAAGGGCACACAACGAACAAAGTTCCTTTTTTATAGATCCGGGATGGTACGTAATATTTTTTGAACTCAGCCAACTCTGCAAGTCTTTTTTTAACCACTTGATTGTGGGCAGTCCTTCTATGATAACTTGCATTATCCATTACTATTACACAGTTCTTAGGAAGAAGATCTATCATTTGTTCGAACCATTCTTAAAAGACATCAGCGTTCATGTCTTCATGGTAGTCACCGGTACGAGTTGATTCAAAAGTTAATAAACCACCTTCAACAAAACCGTCTGAACTGCCAATGTGTACTATTATCAGCTTGCGTCCCTTTCCTGATGGTGGGTTTAAACCAGTAGATAAGTTTTAGTAGATAAGTAGTATTTTTCTTTTTTGGTTTCTCATTTCCTTTATGGTTCTTAGAAAATGTCTTCTCCATATGACAATATCGCTTCTTTCTAATAAAATAGACTTTCTGGGATTCTTTTTCCAGCGGAAGCCTATTTCTTTTAAAAGTTTCCATAACGTACTTCGACTCATTTCTGGGTAATCCTTATCTTCTCGAACTGAGACAAGAACTTTATCCAATGTTGGAAATTCTTGCCTAAAGAAGAATTCATGCACTTTCCGTCGAAGTCCTTCTTTAAAATGATATTCTATTTGAAATTTTGGTTTCCCTGGAGCATTACGTTTCATTTGAAAACTACCACATTTCTCTTCTTGAATAACTCTGTAGATCGTAGATTTCCCAACATCAAGTGTACTGCCAACTAACTCAACGGTCTCATCAACACTTTCACATAAACGTTTGTCTGTGAATGATTTAAAACAATTAAATATTAATGTTTTTTCATTAACTGTTAAAGGACCAACTTTTCGGCTTTTACACGGCACTTCCAAATTTTCCATAACACTAGTATACACAATAAACTGCACCTTGCAACTGAAGTACCTACTTTTAGTGAATTGTTAAAAATTTTGAATACGCCACTTGGACCTTCCTACAAAATGGAAAAACCCACTATCACATTTTCTGTGGAATAAGTTTAGAAGGTAATTATCTAGTCAATTACTGTCGTAGATTCCTGGAATTAAAGAATTAA